CCCTGTGGAAACAAGACTCAGTGGGTTATTGAATCGGTGTACCCATCTGTAGTCTGGATTCGTTAGTCTAAAGGTCGGGGTAGGTGTGGGGAGGTATGATATACCACAGTGCCTGTGTATTTGTCTGTGTTGGTGACAGATAATTTCAAATGCTGTTAGCTTCCTGTCCATTCCCCAGGAAAACACTTAACTTATTCCAACGTAATTTAAATCATTTATTCTTTGTTAAATTCTTTTTGTTAAAATGTCTTTTTGTTTTGTTTTGTTTTTTCAAGACAGGGTTTCTTTGTATAGTTTTGGAGCCTGCCCCGGAACTCGCTCTGTAGACCAGGCTGGCCTCAAACTCACAGAGAGCCACCTAAATGTCCATTTTTTTTAAAAAATGTCCATTTTATGTTTATGTGTGTATGTCTGGCTGGCTGTTGGTGTGTGTGTGTGCAGGAGATGCAAAGCATTAGGAGAGCCCCTTGGAACTTGAGTTACAAAGGTTGTAAGTCACCGGAGTTGGTGCTGGGAACTGAACTCAGGTCCTCTGGAAGAGCAGTAAGTGCTCTTCACTCCTGAGCTATCTCTCCAGGCTCCCCGTTTATTCTTAAAATATTTTATGTCTAATGTGGTTTTGTTGTGTGGAAATAAATAAGGCTTTGAAGAAGGTCAGGTAGTTGATTGTGCCCTGAGCTCATTTGCCCTGGAGACAACTAGTAAACAAGATATAACCAAGAGGATATCCCCAGGAGGTACTCAAAACACATCCCCACTGGATGGAAAATAAAAGGACATAAAACAATGGAAAGTAGTGTCAGGATCTGCCAAGCCAAAGGACTAGGTGCCCCTGGATTCCACAGACTAAAAGTGTCAATAACAGGGAAGACACTGCTATGGTGAAAGCAGTCAGCCGACTGGCCAGACTTGCCCTAATACAGGGACTTAAGGATTAACTAGCTGCAGGTTAAGGCTCCAAGAAATCACAAATTTCCTAGAATCAGTACCATGGGGCCTGGAGAGATGGCCAAGGTTAAGAGCACTTGTTGCTTTTGCAGGGGTCCAGGTTTGCTTTCTAGCATCTGCAAGGTGATTCCCAGTCATCGGCAGTTCTAGTTCCAGGGGAGTCTTAACAACCTCGTCTGACCTCTAAGGGCACCAGGCACACACATGGTGCACAGATATGCAGGTAAAACATGCACACACACACTTAAAATAAAAACAAAGCTTTTAAAAAATGGCATGCCCTGTTCTTATACCAACAATACAATTAATTTAAAACCCAGAAATTAGAAGCCAGCTTTTAAAACACAGTCCTTGTGTGTGGCTGGGTTTGCACCGTGTGACAACACCAGATAGGAAGGTCATCAGCAGGTGGGATAGCCAGGAACAGAAATAACAAAGAACCAGTATAGGTGATAAAAATTATGAACCCATGGAGAGAAATTAAGGAAAGTTTAAAAGCTGAAAGAACTCATGTCTACCTTACATCACAAACAAACGATTTCCTATTCCTACCACATACACTGTACCTGGAATCCTAGCATTTGGGATGCTGGGACAAGAAGGTTGGGAGTTTGAGGCCAGCCTGGGTTACATGGTGATGAGGTCAAATAACGAACGGTAAAGGGAGATTATCGTGTAGAAGAACACATGAGCATGGTTCTCGTACAAGTAATGGGACCGGAGCTGCAGTTCGTGTTGGGTGATAGTGTGCTTCTGCAGCATCCTCTAGGATTGCTCTTCACAACAAGGGGAAAAGGAGAACAGGAAATTGTGTAGACTGTAGAATGGGCTTAGCAAAAGTGAAGACACCATGGGATAGACATATTATCTCTCACCCCCAGATGAGGGAAATTGGAGAATTTTGCAAGAGTTTGTGATGTGGCTGAAATCTGGTACGGGGTCAGAGTGAGTCTGGAACACCCTTTCATGACTAAAAGCCAGCAAAAAAAGCTGCTCAGGTACCCTGTCATCATACTACAAGGACAGAACTCAAAGGCTTCCACCAGCTTTCAAAATGGTACTGTGAGCATCGTCAGAATACCCGTTGGGTATAATACACAGGCTTACTGTCTGCCTGGAGAAGATGCTCTGGAGCCAGCTCATCCTAAACAATGTATTCAGGGTGTGAATCAGACATTTGCTCTTAACCTGAACAAACTAAATTTCAAGTGATTAAGATACATGGCAAAATTAGAACTTCAGATTAGCACCTGGAAGGATGATAAATTGCTACCGTTTGGAACTTCTAAGGAAAAAAATGAATCTAAAGAATCGTTTTGCTAAAACACATTTAGGATTTGTGTCCTGTGGACATTGTTCAGATTCTGTTTTAAACAAACAAATTAATCATGTTTTTTGTTTGTGGTTTTTTTAGTGTTTCTGTGTTTGAGAGATGGGTTCTGAACTATTAATCTGAGTTCCTCGTTTTCGAGGGCTGGTGAAATGAATCAGTAGAGCCTGAAGAGCCTGGGTTTACTCTGTAGTCCTTTGCAGGGCATGATGTCTTGTATCGAATCTACTGTAAGATTGGAGGTGGAGGCGGGTTGATCACCCTGAAGCTTATGAGCCATCTAATTAGGAGTACACAGCAAGGGAGACTGTGCTGAATGGTCTTATGTCAGCTTGACATGAGCTAAAGTCATCTGAGAGGAAGGAACCCAGTTTGTTGTGGGTGAGCAGGCTGAGCAGGCCATGGGGGGCAATCAGAAAGCAGCTCTTCTCTCTGGCCTCTGGCTTCAGCCTCCTGGTTTCTGTCCTGGTTCCTGTCCTGACTTCCTTTGATGATGAATTGTGATGTGGAAGAGTCACACTTTCTTCCCCAAAGCTACTTTTGGTCATGATGTTTCATCACAACAGTGACCTTGGCTAAGACAGACCTTGCCTCAAAAGTAAGGCAGAAGGAAAGAGCTGACTTGAGAGCTGAGTATACACACATAGGGTCATGGTGTTTGTCTGGAGGTGCAACGAGATGAGCTGTCAGTTGATAACGTGGGGAATGGGGAGTGACACGTGGGGCTCACTGTATTTCTGTTTCTCTGCTGCTTATGAAAATTATTTTAAAGATCTAAAGTATACACTTGGAAGGCTAGAAATATGCTTCTAAATAGTTCATGACTCGTAGAAATCACTGTCGAAGGTATCTGTGACAACCAGTGGTGAATGAGTCTGTTCCAAAATGCAAGTATGCCACAAGTGGGGTGTGAAGGTAAGTTTACTAATTTGAACCCTATGAGAAAGTAAATTTATGTAAACTAAGTAAATGTGACTGAAAAGATTGAGAAAGGTCAGGGATACAGAAATCTGGGTTGGGGTAAAAGTATAGGAACAAGAGAAGGACATAGAAATAAAATTGATAAACCACTGTGCAGTCTGACAAATGGCTCAGGTCTTCTCGAAGTCTGGCTCTGTAAGAGAATGATCGGATTTTCTTTTTTCCAATGTTTTTGGTTCTGTACCAACAACTGCTGACGTCTTAGAAGACTTGGGTAGTTGAAAGAGAAGGTAGGGTTCCTATTTCATGTTTTATCCTAATAGCTAGAATTTCTGCCTTGGTGGATAATTATTCAACTGTTTTTCATGCTTGGTTGTTGTTTCTGTTCTGCTCCTGTGATGATGTATTACTTTTCTTGTGGCTTTGACTAGTACCTGAAGGGAGGATTTTTCTGGCTCAGAGTGTGGGAGAGCAGATCATGACAGTGGAGAAGCTGTGGCAAGAATATGAGGCTGCTTCTCTCCTGCTGGCCTTCTCCCTCCCCCTTTTATCCAGTCTGGGCACCCAGCTTGGGAGTTAATGCCACCCATGTTCAGCATGGTTCCTCCCCTGTTAGCTGAGCCCATCTGGAAGCAGCCTCCCAGACAGCCCCAGAGGCATGTCTTCTGGGTCCTTCTAAGACCCATCAATTCGACAGGGCTAGAACTCTGGGCCTTTCACAGACATCCTCGTGTTAATGTCATTCAGCTAGACCCACAGCCCAGGAAGATTCAGAACTGGACAGTAAGAAGGCCTAGTTTGCTCAAAAAAGAGGGTGGGGTATACAGGAGCTTGCCTTGGAGGCTAGTTTCTGAAGAGCAGTTTAATTTTGCTTTCTTTTTAATGTCCTTGTAAAGCATCAGGTATGCTGCCCTGTTGTTGGGAAGTGTTAGACTCTTGAAGGGATGCTGTAAGATTGATTAAAAAAAAAAATTGCTAAAGCAAGAGGCTTGGATGGAAAAGGTGCCATTGAGCCTGGTGAGTGGAGTCTGACCCTGGGACTCACATGGTGCAAGAGAGAGCAGACATTATATGGGTCCAGTGACAAAAGAGTTGACTTTCCCGATGCTATGCCCAGGTTATGGCCATGTTTAATGAGACCTGCCCGCTTGCAGGTTCCCTTGCAGGGGCGCACTGGGTCACTGTTGTGCGTTTGCGTTGTGGGGTACATTAGTGTCAAGGCTAGTTATTTTGTTGCTTGTGTTCTCCTCAAATTAAATTTATATCCTTTGTAGAAAGTCTCTTTCCAACTTTGTTTTTAATGGTTGTGCATGCATGTGTGCATTCATGCCCACAGATTCTGTGTGGGAGTCAGAGGACAACTTTTTAGCATCAGTTCCCTTCCCATCTTACTCTTGAGACAGTCTTCTCACTGCGTACCCTAGATCATCACCCAACCCACCCTGAGATTCCTGGAGATTGTCCTGCCTCTGCCTCCTATCTCACAACCGAAGTGCTGGGATTACACATGTGTACCATTCCATCTTGCTTTATATGTGGCACATACCTTTCTCTGCCAAGAACCTTGCTGGCCCCTCTGACTGTATTTGTACAGCTTGCCCACTTTGGTGGCATATTCCTATTCTCTGGTGCTGTACAAGTTCCATTTGCCTGGGGGCTTCTGTAGCAGTTGTGATGGCAGCAGTGAGGCACAGCCATCACCTGTGGTGGCGTCTGAGGACGTCTGGCTGACCGTCTGTGCTCTTCATACCTAGTTTCTTCTTTGCTAGTTTTTTCAGGACACATCTTTGTTTCGTTTCAGCCATGAACCAGAGAATCACTCAGAGTGCTCCAGTGAAGCAGCCACCACCCTTGGCTCCCCAGAGCCCACAGGGAGGCGTCCTGGGTGGGGGCAACTCCAACCAGCAGCAGCAGATGCAGCTGCAGCAGCTGCAGATGGAGAAGGAGAGACTGCGGTTGAAGCAGCAAGAATTACTGCGGCAGGTGAGGCCACAGGTTAGAGTCCAGCCTTCCTCTTTCGGTCTTTGCATTCCCACAGAAGCCTGTGCTTTGGATCTCAGCTTTGGTTAGGGGAATGGTGGCTTTATGAAAATCGGGTCTGTCTGGCCTCTCCTTGTCCTCTTCCTTGACTGGCCTTGGGTAACATGCACTATAACTCATGGTCATGCATCATGAAGGGCTGTGTTAGCCAGAGTGGTGGCACATGCCTCTTACCCAGCACTTGGAAGACTAGTGCACAAAGGTCAGGAGTTCAAGAGCAGTCTCAGCTACATAGTAATTTGAAGGCCAATCCGAGCTTCATGAGAACCTGTCTCGAAGCAAACAAAAAAATAATGAAAAGTACCTGTTTAGGCCATAGTCACTGCAGTTGAACAAAAATCAAAGGAAGCCAAGACGCAGGTGTCATGTTCCTGAGAGCTTCACAGGTGGAGAGATTCCGGGCCATCCCTAGAGAAAAACATCTGCCTTACATGAGAGCTTCACAGGTGGAGGGATTCCGGGCCATCCCTAGAGAAAACATCTGCCTTACACGAGTTTTTTGTAGAGTATACCATCGTGACACTTTCTTTAATGACAAATGTTTCAGTATTGCTAAAACAAAGAATTTCATTTAAGACAGAATACAGTTGCCCCCAAGTATAGACCCCAGTGTGTCTTTGGTGCGTTGTTTTCGTGTTGAGGGGCAGGAGGAGCTGCCATCGAGGAGCTTGAGACCCTTCTCTTCAGAAAACGCTATTGGTCTTCAGGCTGAATAAGAAGAAATTATCTTAAAACAAGTTTGGGGCTGAGGTGTAGTCTGGTGAAAGACATTTGCCTAACGTGTGAGTCCTTGGGTTTACAAAATCCCCAGACCCACCCAACCATTTTGTTTGTTTTGTTTATCTTATTTCTAGTATTTAAGATATTGTTGATAGTGGGGAATTGGTCTTTGGTTAAGCAGTAGATCTTTTAAATTTGTGTGTGAACTCTTTAACTAGATGATAACACAGTACAGTAGTCACAAGCGTACAAAAGGAAAATACTCAGAAATAAAATCTCCTTTTCCCGGATTCCCTAGTTTTCTTTTGGTTGTAAAATAACCAAGTTTGGGGTTGGGGATTTAGCTCAGTGGTAGAGCGCTTGCTAAGGCCCTGGGTTCGGTCCTCAGCTCTGAAAAAAAAAAAAAAGTTTATCATTTATACTCAACACACCCCTCCCAAGATGTTTACAAATACAAATAGTTTTTGTTCTTCCCAAGTTGTCTTTCCCAAATTATAGCTACTGTGCATATTTAAAATTAGTTTTACACCACACTTCTCTTCCTAGAATGTTGACCTTAAAGATATATTAAGTTGAGCCATGGACTCCTAGACAGACTCATACTTAAAGTGTTGATGCTCATTCATAATGTGTCCTCATGATCCAGGTGTGGTTGGCAAAGTTTATGCCAGCGAATGAGGGGAGAATGGTCTTAAAAACTCATCTCTAAAAGACGCACAGAGGAAGCATCCTAATGCAAGGGACACCCCTCTCACTCCTCACTGCAAGAAAGGAAGGGTACTTTCCAGTTCCATAACAAGCTGAGAACAAAGTGGAATAGCAAGGATTTCAGTGTGTAGCTGTTAGAAGAAATAAAAAGAAGTAAAAAATAAAGCCTAGTTTGTTGTCTTTATTCTGTTGTGACCAAGTATTAATTGGTCAAAGTAAATGCAAGTCTCAATTTCACATGCATGTGAAAATCAAGAAGCTTTCATAATAAGAAACTCACTTAATTTATAATGTCAATGTCTTCTTGTTTTTACATTCGTTTTTAAAGTCAAGAAATAAGCCGCTGTCACCCTGTTGCATCAGTTAGCCTGGTTTTCTTGGTGGACCAATTCTGCTGCTTGTGTAGTCCTTCTAAAGACTCTCTAACTCTTCTCGGGTGGTGGGTCCTGAACAGTGACCCTTCTGTAGAGGTGACCTCTGCTCCTTTGCTGTGCTCCCTCCTGTTTGTTGCCTGTGTTGAGGGGACAGATCTCTGTTCTGACGCAAATGGACTGTTTGTTTAGCAATCCAAACTGAGTGCATCCTAAGGCCTCTGGCTTCTTGTGAACTTCCATCCACAGCCGTGTCTTATCACTGAAACATTGAAAGTTATTTCTTCCTGCTTCATCTAACACAGAAGCAAAGCGCCTACCTGACTGTTACTAAATGTTGCCTTTGTCTTGGCGCCAAGTCTTGCTGTCTGTCCTCCTTGCTGCTAGACTGTGAGGGGCAGTCTGTTCTGTGTTGACTTCGCTGGCTCCTGCCCTTCTTAGCCTGCTGTTTCTTGGGTAGCTTGGGAATTCTGTTCTATGGTAAGATGTCTGGATACAATTTATAAGTCAGCCTACACAGCCAAACCATGTGGCGTCAAGTAATTTTTATCCGTCTTATTTTTTACTCTTAGGCAATACGGAATATCAATCCCAGCACAGCAAATGCTCCAAAATGTCAGGTAGGCTCTTATATGATGTTTTAGCATTGGGGAAAAAGATAACTAAATTAGGAGAGAGACACCGTGTGCCTAGCCCTGTCCTCACTGGAGAGGAGCCGGAGTGGATATGGCTGAGTCATCTTTCTCCCAGGACACTGAGCATGGCTTTTCCAAGGGACTGAGGACTGTCTGCCTGTGCTGATCCTCCCAGGCTGTGTGTGTGGCTCTGGAGACTCCCAGGACTTCCTAGTTCACACACAGGATGTCTCAGTAGTCATTCTTTCAGCCTCTAAATGTGTATGATTTTTGTTTGAGCAGCTTAAAAAAAATTTTTGTCTCAATTTTTTTTCCTAATGTTTTAAAAGAATCAGTAAATTGAGCTATAGCAAAGAAAGTAGTTAGTTTATATATAGGCTGTTTTTGGAAATTACAATGAATAAAAGTTTTTCTCAGTTTTTCTCTTATGAGGGAGGGCATTGTAAATGTCAAAGCTCCAGGGGAATCGAGCTCTGCCCAGTCCATGGTGAGCTCCAGGGTGCACTGCTAACGGAAGCACCCGGCTGCTCTCCTGCCTGACAGACTCCTGTCTGAGCCATGGGAATAGTTGGGTTCTAGAAACAGAAGCAGATCCTATATGTTTCTGCTGTATGACACTCAAAGTAGTTGGGAGCTCGAGGGTCCATGTGCCTCTCTGAGGTGAGCAGAAGCAGCCATGAAGCATGCTCCCCCCTTTACTCCCTCATCCCACCCTCCTGCCTCTTTCTTTGAGGGCATCACTCTATTGTAGCTCAGGCTGGCTTCAGTTTTCCAGTGACTCTCCTGCCTCAGCCTCCAGTGCTGGGATTTCTGCCACTCCTGCAGCCAAACATCTCAGGGTCTTGGAGCTGCTCTGGGCTAAGCAGAGGGAGTGTAATGTTTGGATTGGCTTTAGAGGTAGGGACTGGCAGAATGATACTCTGCCAGGGGAGTTCCTCGGCGCTAAAGTCAGGTGCCATCTTCAGAGACCAATTAACTTTGTAAGAAATAAACTCTTACCTTTTCTTTTTTCAATTTTTGAGTCAGGCTGGCCTTGAACTCACAGATCTGCCTGCCTCTGCTTCCAAGTGCTGGGATTAAAGATGTACACCACCAGACCTGAACTCTGTTCTCTTTATCTCATAAATGCCTTCATTTAAACAAAACCCACAAAGGGAGTGGAAATCAACTGGAGTAGAGCAGACGCTCTCAGGATGAGGGACACTGTGCCACCTCTGGATCTCACAAGCTGGAGTCCCCTGTTCTGTGTTTCTCTGAAACAGTGGCTTCTATTAATGATTCTCGAGAGCTAGCGCTGACTCCTAAGATTGACCTTTGGATCTATCATAAGTCCTTTAAGTCAGAAGTAGATGCCAAAAGTCTTGTTCTTGCTCCTATCTTAACCCCAAATCTGGTAAAGAAATGCTTTCAGATCTTCATTTAATACTTGAATAGAAAATACTTGGCTGTAGTAAAGTTGCCAGGAATTCAGAGATGTTAAACACCTTCCTTTTTAAAAATTTATGTACTTCCCTGTGCATTGGTGTTTTTCGTGCATGTGTGTCTATATGAGAGTCAGATCCTAGAGTTACAGACGTTGTCAGCTGCCATGTGGGTGCTGGGATTTGAACCCGGGTCCTCTGGAAGAGCAGTCAGTGCTCTTACTGCCGAGCCATCGCTCCAGCACTCCCCCCCCCCCCCCGCTTTTTTTTTAAGAAAGGGTTTCACCCTATGTGTAAGCTAGGATGACCTTGAATTCTCATGTACTCCTACATTAACTTCCTGGGGCCAAATGGCAGATGTGTGCCATGGCACTGGCTAAAATCATTAAGTGTTAAAATTGGAACGGATACTTTAAATTTGTGTAATCTAGATCAAAAAATATTTGAGAGATAATTTTTGAAAATGCCACTGCACGTGCTAAAGATTTAAGCTGCTGGTTTTTATGGGCATGGTCGTACAGACTGTGATCCCTGGATAGGGAGGTGAAGACAGGAGAATCAGGACTTGAGAGCCTACCTTGGCTACAGAGTGAGTTTGAGACCAGCCTGTACTTACACGGGACCCTTTCTGAAAACAAATGGTGTGCTGCATGTTTTAGTTGTCAGCATACTGGTAGTTGTGAAGCTGTCGATCAGTATATTCGATTGTGGTGGTGGAGTCTGGGATTTTCTCCATGACCTTAAGACATCGTATAGAGAAGAGAAAAATGACTTTTCTCAATTATCATAAGGGGGGTACTATCACTTCTCTGACAAAAGCCAGAACGGTAGAGGAAAGCACAATCTATGTATTTAATTAGTGTTTTACATGACCCAAGAGCCTTCAGAAACGAACCAGGGAAACAGTTTTGACACTGCAGTTCAGTGAGCAGTAGAAAGAGGGTGAGATCCAGTCTTGATGAACCTTGGGAAAGTCAGCAGATAGTACGACTTCTGGGATGAGGTCTCAGTGCCCTTTCCTTGAAGAGTAAGGGGAAGGGTGATGTTTCTGGACTGTATGGTTTGCCTTGCAGGAGAGGATTCTGTTTGCCATCTGGCCTGCCTTTGGGGAGAGAGGGAGTGAGAACCATGGGCAGGAAAGGGACATGACTTCTGAGGGCTTCGAGGCCCTTCCTCTGTTTTCTGTTTCAGAGCACTCAGCTTGCCAAAGCAACATGCAACAGTGTCAAGAAAGATTTTGTTTTCGTTTTGAGGGTTGTTTGTTTGTTTGTTTGTTTGTTTGTTTGTTTTTAGGGTTTCCCTGTGTTGCCCTGGCTGTCCTAGAACTCTGTAGACAGGGCCTGCAGAGATCTACTTGTCTCTGCCTCCCAAGTGCTGGGATCAAAGGTGTGCATCGCCACACTTGGCAGGGAAGATCTTCCTAAGAGGTATACAAGAGAGTCAAGTCAGCCATCGTCAGCCAGACATTGCTCACCCCAGTCTATGAGGACATGGGAAAGGAAGGCTCCAGACTTGCAAATGTCACAGTCATTGCTTAGTTTGACTTTACTCCTCTAGTAGAAATCACCCGTGTGAACAAGAAGTAAATGTGGCTCCTTCATAGTCGATAGCTCCTGTATAGCCGGGTGTCAGCAGGCACCAGGCTCCAGAATGTGCATTGGTGGTTTTGAGACAGGGTCTTAACTGTGTGGGTCTGCTGTCTTGTAACTTCCTGCTTTCACCAGGCTGGCCTTGAACTCCTAGAAGTCTTCAGGATTCTGTCTTTTGAGTTACAGGTTTACAAGTGTGTGCCACACTGTCAGCATTTTTAAGTTACTAAAGTCAAAATCCTTGTTAGTGATTTTGATCAGGTTAACAAATCACATCTGTATTTGGGATTCTGTGGCATTTGTACTTATGTCCCTGTGGGTTAATGAAAACCCTCAAGGCATGTGTGAATCATATCGAAAGAAGAAAGACTCTCAAAGCATTTTTAGATCTTCATAATTAAATATGGAACTTGTCGCCATAATTTATTACAGTGTGTTTACAGGATTCAGGGAAATTGTCCTTACATAGAGCATAAGTTTTCATTTCCACAATCCAGAAGAAACTGTAGCTGTGAACATCTCGGCTGCGAGGGTGAGCGCACACTAGCCAGGTCTCTGTCACAAGGCGGTGCTGCTGTCATTGCAAAGGTCTTCAGGGAGACCCATTTTGAGGAAATACCTTCCCGGCGCGCTTTTCCTCCCCCTCTGCTGAAAGTGTGGCTCTGAGCATCCGGAGTCCTCTCCTGCCTGTGAGGCTTCCTGGCTCATTGTGAGGTCAGTAGGCTCTGCATTTGGTAAGCTGTGCTTCCTCAGTGAGACCCTTGCTCCATCCCCTTCTCTCTTACTGCTGCTTCCTCTAAGGCCAAGTCTCCCCTAAAAGTGTCCTCATCAGGACTGTTGAAATACCCGGAAATAAGACAATAAAATGTCTTACCCCAGCAGTCAGTGAGCTTCCGATCTAGGTGGTGGAAAGTCAGTCTCACTCTTCCTAGAAGTGCTACTGTCAGTGTTTTGTAGCTGTGGATCAGAGCACTTCCCGTCGTTCTAGGGCCTCTCGGTGTGCTCCAGGAGCGCCAGTGTTGGGGACATTGGCCAGCTACATGAACACTTGGTAGGAAAAGGCTCAGCTGCCCCATATTTTTAATCAGACATAGCAAAATCACCCCACTATTCAGAAACACCTAAAAACAATTGCCAAAGACAGTTCTTCCTTGTGAATTTAGTAATCACAAAGAATTGGCTTTTCCCCAACCCAAAACTGGCTTTCAAGTTAGCAGACAAATCCTTTTAACAATTTTTTCGACATTATCTCTCTTCTCTTGAAAGGCCTACTTTTCCATAAATCTTACACTTATTTGACTGGTTTCTCAATGGTTGCTTTATTTTTTGGTGAGCATGTTAAAGAAAATTTTGTGTAAAAATGGAAGGGAAAAGCTTTGAGGAACATGCCTGAAACTGCAGGACTTGCCTTAAGTCCCAGCACATGGGAAGCAGAGACAAGCAGATTGCTGCAAGTTCAAGGCCAGCCTCGTCTATATAGAGTTCCAAGCCTTCTAGGGCTACACAGTGAGACAGATCACCTCCCCCACACCACTAATAGTTTACTTTGTTCATTTTACTAACTAAAATCTCTCTTAAGGGAGTGGAGCCATAAGGTGCTTTCTGGTTTTGTTCTTTTCTTTTTTTTTTTTTTTTTTTTTTTGCTTTTTGCTTTTTGCTTTGAGCCAAGTTACAAAAGACCAAACTCTAGAAATGTAAAATGTATCAGAAACAGTTTTGAATCTCAGTGTGGTCCTCAGAACACTGTACTTCAGGTGTTTGTGGTGTTGCCTACCAGAGCTGAGAAGTGTATAGTCCTCATGATGGTCACGTATACTGCATACTTGTATCAGTCAAAAGAGTTGCCTTGGATTTGAAAATAATTTGGTAGATGACACAGACGTTAAGAAACAGGTCTAGAGCCGGGCGGTGGTGGCGCACGCCTTTAATCCCAGCACTTGGGAGGCAGAGCCAGGCGGATCTCTGTGAGTTCGAG